AGCAGCTGGACCAGATGGAATACCCCCGGAAGCACTGAAAGCGGACCCAGAGACGACAGAAGATATGCTGACTCCATTATCGCAAAAGGTCTGGAAGGAGGGAAAGGTGCCTACTGACTGGAGGAAAGGTTACCTGGTGAAACTACCAAAGAAGGGCAACTAAGGACTCTGCAAGAACTGGCGAGGAATCATGCTCCTGTCGACGCTGAGTAAAATCCTGAGTCGCATCATCCTGGAGAGAATCAAGGACGCACTGGATACAGAACTCCGACGAGAACAAGCTGGATTCAGGAAAGGCAAATCATGTTCTGACCAAATTGCAACTCTACGCATCATCATCGAACAAAGCATGGAATGGCAATCAAACCTCTACCTCAACTTCCTTCATAGACTTTGAGAAGGTCTTCAATAGCGCTGACCGCGAAGTAATTTGGAAACTACTCGAGTACTACAGCTGTACGACAACGGCACATGTCAAGTGATCCACAACGGAAAACTCAGCGAGGCGTTTGGAGTAAACACAGGAGTCACACAAGGGTGCTTATTATCACCAATGATATTCCTAATTGTGGTGGACTGGATTATGCATCAGATAGTGGGAAACGAGAAGACAGGGATATCCTGAACCGACGTGAAGAACCTAGAAGACCTGGATTTCGCGCGTGGATGATTTATGTTTGATGTCACACAAAATCGAAGACTTACAAGCGAAAACCGACAAACTGGTCGAAGAAGCGGCAAAGACAGGACTCCAGGTGAACATAGACAAGACGGAGGTTATGAAAATAACCAACCAACAACAACAACAGCGCCAATCACCATCAACGGGAGGGATTTGAAAGAGGTTACTTCATTCACTTATCTAGGGAGCATTATCTCAACTACAGGAGGAACGGACGGGGATGTCAAATCGAGAATCGGAAAGGCAAGAAACACATTCATCAACCTGAAACCAATCTGGAAATCTTCGTCACTTAGCATCAACAGCAATAAAAATTCGGATTTCCAATACAAACGTCAAGTCAGTCCATTGTTCTATACGGATGAGAAACTTGGTGGGTCACAAGGAATATTTCCAACAGCCTGTTGCAGACCTTTATCGACAGCTGTTTTCGTTCTATACTGACGATCAGATGGCCGGAAGGAATCACCAACAAGAAACTATGGGAACAAACACAACAAGAACCAATCGCTCAACAAATATGCAGGAGAAAGTGGAGATGGATTAGACATTCGCTGAGGAGGCCACTGGGTGACATCGCGCGTGAGACCATCGCTCGAGTGGAACCCGAAATGGAAGCGGCGAGTGAGACGTGCAAGGGTGACATGGAGGAGATCGTATGAAGAGGAGTTGAAACAGTATGGATTAACATGGATGCAAGTGAAAAGTACAGTAGAAGACAGAAGCAATAGGAGACGTGCAGTTGAAGCCCTATGTTCTACTAGGAACCCAAGGGAACAGTCATAATAATAATAACGCATCAACTATAAATAAAGTACCATATATCCGAAAATCCCTTGATCATTTGACGATAACTATGTCACACAGTTGTCCAGTCAGTGAGCATTTTTCAAATGGTTATCTAAACCGATTTACAAAACTTCCTTTAAGCCCAGATATTTAATATCTCGTAAGTTTCTGCCTACTATATCTAAATTTGCAGTTAATATTCGTTGTGCTTTAACTGTCTTCGAGTGTGTACTGGCTATTTTTCTTAAGACTGTAACTCCTCTTAATCTTCATGTAATTTTGAAACCCCGACGGATGCTGTTTTTAAAACAAAAAGAGTCACTGTAAAAGAAAGAGGCTGCGTCCATCGAATACTGAGGAATGAAAGATACGTAACTACAAAATTGAGTTTTCAAGAAAGACGAATGTAAAGAGAAATAGGAAACCACTACGACTTTGCTGCGAAGAGTGTAAGTTAGCATCTTTATTAATAAAATGGCGCAAGAATTTAAAACTGACAATGTCAAATACTCTTTTCAAAGATAAAATGAGTAATATTTTACGTTATAAATAAATAATATACTTTCCTATGTAGTGTATGACAAACTGAACACTAGCATATATATATATATATATATATATATATATAAGTAATCGTTAAAATGAAACCGTTTATCGATTTTCAACTTCAAGTAATACAATCTGTGCAATAACCGCTAATGAAACCAATGACGTATGTGTAAAATCCTTATCTTTATATATTCGAATTTTGTCACGTTAAAAGAAACTTGAGAAGTGAGAAAAAAATCATGGAGAACATAAAGAGATTAACAACGACTATGGACAACATACACTAACATCTATCATGCTTGTAAATTAAACATTGTCAACTTACGATTATTCAGTGAGCTTTAAAATTGACAAGAATGACTTATTAATGTACTTATCTAGTGCAATACATACATAGACACAACAACATCGTACAACAAAGTACTTCCAACAAACAAAAAGAAACGGAACCTATTTACTACTGTGGTGAAAGCTGTTTGCAAGCCAAAATTGTAGACAACAATTTACGTCAATGTTCACGTTCCGAATCGGGGTCATTAGAAAAGAAAACAATAACAAAGTGTAACCTTGAGTAACTCACCAATCAACCAGAGAAGACTTAAAGTGTGCAAATACGATTCGCAGATATATATATGGCTTAACTCTCTAAGAAACGGTCACAAGCAGTACAGAATAACCTTCAGCAAAAAAAAACCAACCAGAAGACGTTGCTTCTCCGCTGACAATAACGTACATAAAAATCAGTAAATATCTCTTGATTTTCTCAATAAACAATCTGTTGCCTGGCCCTTGTCTTTTTTTGTTACACTACAACTAACTATAATCAAAATACTGTGGTAACGAAACGATTGCTGATCTAAAATAGATTTCATATCTATATCAAATGAAAGCAGAAGAAGACTTCTAATTAAGTCTTTTAAATCAGTAACAAAAAGATACTTGTCGACAATTGGTTCTACCAGTTACTGAATACGATATGCCTACTAGCATTGGCTATTTGAATGAACAGTGTGTCCGATAATGAAGCAACAAGTGCTGTGTTCGAATCTTACTTTGATTGTCAACATTATCACAAAATACCATTTCATTTACACACTTCGCAATGCAAACAAAACAGCCCCGCAAACCAGGGAACTTATTCGTAAGTTTGTTGTCAGAAAATTCGTTAGGCATTTTAAATCAGAGGACACTGAGTTATAGTGGTGAATAAATCTTATCGTTTATCAAAATGAACACATCATGCACCCACTGGGGTTTGACCCGGGGACCTTCTGGTGTGTACTGATGAAGAGTCCAAAACTAGGGCGAAACAGCTGTCCAGTTGGTTTCAAATGATTCTCTAACCGATGTCAGCTCATGATGAAATCCTGTAACCAATCAGTCAACTTCCTACAAACCAATACTTGAAGTGATTTTTGTTCAGGCGGTTTTTGTTTTAATCCTACTGAGGAAATGAGCAATCAGTATTTCTGAAAATAAATGGTATTCACACGAAAAAGTATATTTCATTTGTTCAACACTACATCGAAGTATCTTTTTAAACAATATGTTTATGAAATGATAAAAGGAATACGTTCTACTTTCCGTTACTCTAAAAGCATAGATAATATACTTTGATTGGACACTAGTAACTAGTGTCACGCGTCTAGTCTTTTCTTTTGTGCAGACTGAATTCTATCAGTCATGTTTGCAATGTGGCCACCATTCTAGGTGGCTCGCCATCACGGTGTACATCGATTTGGTGATATTAGATGATTGAAGGCGATCGGCAGGAAGCCTTGGACCTAGGTTTCGTGCTAGTTGGCACTCGTCAGCAAGGCAAATCTACAAACTTGAAGGAACCCATGTACCTTCTAAGATTAGCCAGCAGATATTCCTTGCTGACGAGTGCCAGCTAGCACGAAACTTAGGTCCAAGGCTTCCTGCCGATTGCCTCTACCCATCTAATAGCATAGAAAACATTCATATTATATCAAACGTCTTACTCTGATGTGCATCAGAAGTTTACAGTGTAGAAGTCTTGACAAGCGGAAGACATATTATTAGTCAATGTCATGCATTGAAGCTTTAATTTTCCCTACAAAAACTTAAGCAAATCCGGAAAAAAAGGATGGTGCATTGATATCTGTGACCAAGAAATCTTACAACTGTAAATCACCTTTTCTCAAATAAATCAATTTCACTAAAGGCGGTACTCTCTCTATCTCTCTCCCTCAAAGTAGTTGATAGTTTCCTGATGGTGGTGTGGTTATTCCCTAAATAATGGAAAAAGCAGTACTCTGTCAGTTCAGCTCATATCACTAGGACATCAGGAGAATGAAAGCGGTTGCATGTAGCTGCGTTTTCTGACTACGGTTACACAGTTACTCGAAATAGACCACCCACACGTGTAGCAGGTAAGTAAACCTGCTAGGTTCCTAAGTAAAAGCGAAATTACAGTCTGACCCATCCTATTCATTGTTGATTTTTCTAGCCTATTCTAATAAATGGATCTTCTAGTGTTATTTGTCGTATTTTCGAAGTCACCAGAGATTTTCTTTTAATTGAGGAGGCCTTCATCACAGCTAAATTTAAGGAACTGAGAGTAGTATACTGTAGCTTCGGATTCATGGATAGATGTGTGACTGGCAATCAAATATAGTTTGCATTAAAAACTCTTAAGACAACAAAGTCCATTACATTATCCTCGGTGGAATCATCCAAAGGAACGGAATATTGCAATACTCTAGAAAGTACTGTGAAAGTAGGATAGGAAGGCATGGTGTAAGAAAACATTCAAAGCTTTTGTTTCGGTCAGAAAACAATGACGAACTCACTAACGGAAGACAGACTGTCTTCTGATGAATGTATATTTGTTGTTATCAGATGACTGGAGACGATCGACAGGAGGTTTTTTTGCATGCTCTTGGCTCTTGTCAGCAAAGTGTATCTGCGGACATGAAGGAACTCATATCCTCTCTGGAATTTGAGATGTTGTCATCTGGGCGAAAAATTCGTGAGAAGGACCAAAGACAAATACGATAGACTAAATGGAGAGAAACTCTGACAAATATCAGTTAGAGAGTTCATAAGGATTTGCGACTCATGAATTACCAAATCGAAATACGTTGGTGAAGCCACTGCGGAGAAAAAGGACTATCTATATAAAAAGTGCAAAGTAAACAGCTACTGTAATCAAGATATGTAGGTTTGAAAAAAACTTAGTGAGAATATAATGTGAAGAAACGATTGCAAAATAATTGAACGGATGGGCCGAAATCAACTGAGAAAATTACAGAAAATATAACAACCCAAAGAAAGATTTACTGCAATTCAAAAATAGAAAATAAGGTTGTTATCAGAATGGACAAGAAATATGCTAAGGATCAATATTTCCCATATAAACCGTGAACAGAATCACTCATCATCAACCCAGGTCAGAGGTTTTTTTCATTTCCAAGCGTTGGTTCTCAGGGATTAGATTGGTCTCAATCGAGATTCCTAGATGATATCAGTTAGAGAACCACTGAAAACCAGAGAGTACTGAATACCTATTTCGTCCTGATTTGGGTTTTCTAATTCTTATATAAATAGTGCATTGTTGATAATAAGGAAAACGACTTTTCAGTATAGAACTTGTCAGTCGTTGCACAAATGGCTTTAAATGTGTGCGTCGGTGGCACAGCGGTTAGGACTCTCGCCGACCATGCACATGGTCCGGGGTTCTTTCCCCTACCGACGCACACTCGATATCTATGGTCAGCCTGCGAAATTTGGGCTACCGATATCCATGCTGAAAATTCCATACTTGTTGCAAAAATACGGTGTGGCATCAAGCTGTAATCAAAAAATTTTAAAAAATTTATTCTCTGTCATCATCCTGCTTCTTCTTCTTCTTGAAGAAAAAATTCTCCCTCATCAGTCTGCTTTTTGTGTCCCTACAGCACAATATGCGAGCGATATTCAACTGACTAGATACAGCTTACCGTATTTCAGAGTTCTACAGTTATAACAACAATAGTATTCCTTATTCGTAACGCACAAGGTGCTTGAAATTCAAAGTCGAGGGCGATCATCACCTGAAGAAGTCTTTTAGTCTTATATAGAATCTGACATAATCACGATTTAGTGTGAAAACCTTCCTTCTAAAAAAATACCAACGATAAATTCAGTTAGGTGCATACCTGTTTCATTTGTTCCACTTCTAGCTTAGAATTCATAAGTTCCTCTTCTAAACATTTTACACGTCTGTTTGCATTGAATTCCTTCATTTCACGTCTGCATATTTGGATTTGAAGAAAAAGACGTAAAAACAGGAAAATCAGTGTGTGAGCATATATGACATTTTCAATAACCAATTTTTAAAAAGCCGCTTCCATGCGTTACTAATGGAACCACTTCACTTTTACAAATAATACAAATGCAAACAGGTAATTTTCAACCAACCAATATGCTATGCTTAAGCAAGCAATCTGATTCAACTCAATTCACTGAACCTATCCGAGTATATGAGTGGTAATCTTATAACCGAGTGAGCAAAATTACTAACGGTTATCATTTTCATTTCTGATTGTTTTTCCACCAAAAGTACTTAATCACTATATGTTATATCCTGATTTGCATATCTGTACCTTTTTTTGTGAGATATTTGTACACAAACAGCAGGAGTAAACTTTTTTCTCACTATACAAATACACAACTTCGAGGATTGTTTCTTCCTTCCAATTATTATTATTATTATTATTATTATTATTGATTATCATTCCCTTGAGTTCCGAATGGAACATAGGGCTTCAACAACACATCTCCACATTGTCCTATTTTCTGCCGTCCTCTTCAGCTTGGAGTACGGTTGCCCATAATCTTTTCATCTCTTCCTCACACGATCTCCTCCATGTCACCCTAGGACAACCCACTCGTCGCTTCCCATGGGGATCCCACTCGAGGACCTGGCGTGCGATGTCATTCAACGATCTCCTCAACGTACGCTCGATCCATCTCCATTTTCTCCTGCATATTTGTTGAGTGATCGCTTCTTGGTTGGTTTGTTCCCAGCCAGAGTTTCTTGTTGCTGATCCCTTCTTTCTGGACATTTGATCTTCAGTGTGTAGCGAAGGCAGGTGTTGATAAAAGTCTGCAACCTGTTGGAAGTGATTTACGTCACACGCTCGCCAAGTTTCTGACCCATATAGAAAAACTAACCGACTTGAGATTGGTGTTGAATAGAATCCGAATCTTTTTCCTTATTCTGGCTGACTGAATGCAGAAGATTTCCAGACTGGTTTCAGGTTGATGAAGGCGTATCTTGCCTTTCCGATTCTGGCCGGCTGGCTTTGACATCTTCATCCGTGCCATCCGCCATTAGATGAAACGATGCTTCCTAGATAAGTGAAGGAGGTAACCTCTGTTAAATCTCTCGTTAATGGTGATTGGTACCATTTGTTGTTGTTACGATTCGTTGGTTTTCTTTATCACCTCAGTCTTCAGTATGTTCATTTGGAGTCCTGTGTTCACTGCCGGCGTCTTCAGCCAGTTTGTTGGTTTTCGCCTGCCTGCAAGTCTTTGAGTTTGTGTGACGTTAGACATATATCATCCACTCGCCAGATCCAGATTTTCTAGAGTTTTCTTATCGCTGCTTCAACGTATTCTTGTCTCCTCGCTCCCCACAGTGTGACGCATAATTCAGTCCACCACAACTAAGAATATCATCAGTGATAATAGACAGCTCTGTTTTACTCCTTTATTAACTTCGAACGGCTCACTGAGTTTCCGGTTGTGGATCACCTGACACGTGACATTGTCAAATAGCCAGCTGTTGAATGAAGTTGATAAAGAGTTGAGGAACGCCGTAGTGTTCAATTAGTTTCCAAATTACTTACTTACTTCTCAATCAATTCTGTTAAAGCCCTTTTCGAAGTTTGTTAAGTTGAGGCAGGGGTTCGACTGCCATTCCTTCCAATACAACTAGAGGAATAATCTGATAGTGTAATATTCCAAAAGAAAGTGAAAAACTTTAAAAATGAAACTCTATTTCGATTGAGCGGATGATTTAAGTGTAAGAGTTAGAGGCTTAACGATTCTAACATTCAAATCCAAGATACGATAAACTCCATGCTTGTTTCATTAAGAAAATGCGCAGAGCATTGAGCGCATTGAAAAGAGAGTTCCAGTCAGAGGTTAGATCACTGAATTTCGGCCCAAGTGGATGAATATTCAACGAGCTTCATCTCGTAAGCCGAAAGTCCAGTGTCAGATCCTTGGCAGGGTCGTGGGTGCCCACTAAAAATTTGTCCCAAACTAGGAAGAAACATCTGCCTAATGCTCTCTCGTCTTCAATGATCTCTAAATTATGTTGGTTTGGGGAAGAAACATATACTGAAATTAATCCAAATTCCTACAAAAATCCATAATCGAAAAGAAATGTGTGTTTCATATTACGGAGGTTTAGCAACTTACAGATTCAAATACCTAAATTTCAGCAGTCAATCAGAAATTAGATAATATCACGTTACACATTTGTACAAACTAAGAGTAATTCACTATCCAGCTGCAAAAATGTACATAAAATATCAAAAACATTGCTTTCATTGAGTTATTAGAAGGAAAGCCAGCAATCAAAGCAAAACTCACTCCCTCTGTTCTTTCAGTTTCTTTATGGTATCCTCCAGTTTTGATTTATCTGCATATGCTGTATCCAATTTCATACGAATATCCTGAAAAATTTATCAGACTAAGAGTTACTGGTTGTTTTTTTAATAAATTTCGATAAGAACTGTCTAAACTATTTGGTTGGAATATGATGAAATTTTGGCGAATTCTGAAACTAACTTACATTATCAATCAGAAATAAATAGTGACAATCCCTCATTGACGTAGATTAGAAACGTGCACAATTTTTAACCCATTTATGTTATTGTAATTCTCTTTGGACTGATCACAGAGGTTAGTAAACACTAGTTATCAAATATATTTCGACTAGTCAACTTCCAGTTCCTGACATAATTCATTCACTATTCGGAGGTGTCATGGAATAATAGCATGTCTCTGTCCAGTCGACCACTCACTATTTCTAAGTGCTAACTCAATTAACTTACAAAGGGTCACAAATTCAACTTGAATACCACTTTAAGTGTGGTTTAAATACGGACCAGTATTCCTACAGCGGCACATAAAGTCAAGAACCTTCAGATGTTTACAGAAAGTGTGACTTACGGCTGTTAATTTGAATCACAGATGACCTAGCCTTTGATAAAGTGGTTAAATTTCCTACATCCTCTGAAAATGCTCCAGGTTAATGAATACTAGATGACATTTTTTCCAACCATTTTATCAGGACAAATCCAACTTCTACATCCACAAAATTAGCCACTACAGCTAACTATATGGTTCTGTATATCTAGTCAACAAATTTATGCAGACTAATTTTAGTGACCAACCTTGTATTATAAAATCACAAATGCATAGAAAACATTTTGTTTCAAGGTAATCAGAAGATTATATTAATCTTCGTTTAATCTTCGTTTCCTGAATATATTATTTTATAGACGTTCTGTGAAGCGAAAGGTTTCTTTTAAAAAGCGGTGAAGCTGGAAGTAGACTTTTTAAAATTTTCATATTTTTTTAGTCAAACTGGTGCCTATAACTGTCTAAATAAACTTATATAAAGGTATACATATCATGTATTTTGATGGCTACATTATGTTCCTGGATTCGAATTGTAATTGGAGAGTCCGCTTTGAACAACACAGAGTTCCTCACAATTGATGAAATTTATCTTGTAGATGGTGTTGATTTCGTCTTCTTTTGCTGATAAGTCTTCTGGTGATTAACATCATTCCACATTAGCAGCTATTAAAGAGTGCATCTAGAGGATATGGTTTTCAACTTATCAAACTACGATATATTACTTTATACCTACGTTGTTCAAAATCCTTTCATCTTCTAGCTGCGATGTCAATGTTTTTCTTTCATTTTCCCATTTGACACAGTCATCGTGGTAGTCTTTGCTTGTCCTGAGGTGAATGCTGTCTTTTGTAGTTATTAATGCTATTAAACCTTCCAAACTGATTCGCAACGTCTTTTGGTTTTCCAAGTAGAACGACTTTACTTGATTTATCGAACCAGAAAGCTCGTTACTTCTTTCTCTGAGTCTCCTTAAAAGGAATAAATTAATCAAATTTACTACCGGTTTACTCCAGTTTGACATAATATTTAAAGACTGGCACTAACAAAAGAGAGTTAACTGAGCCTTCTGATAGTTTCTGAAAAAATAAGCATACTACTAGTAGTATCTAACTTCTCCAAAGTCCTTCAGCCTGCAGGCATTCATGATGACTATTTTGTTAACATTTCCAGTATGTTGGTTATTTTCCATTTTGATTGGTCTTCAGCCTTATATTTAGCTTCTTATCTCTGTAGTAGACTGGATGCTGACACTCTAATCTTATTGCGCTTCAGTGACAAATCAGTGTCACTGTAACCTAATTTGACCTCTTTTTATTCCATTCAGTATTCAGACTTATAAGAAACTTAAAAATATATAATGCAAACCTGACCGCTAATAATCGATCAGACATGCTTACAAAGTACTGTTGATTCAGATGTAAGGCAATCGACTTCCTTTCATCGATGTGGGTACATAGTGAAAACACATAATATGGTAACTTCTCTTTGATATTTTTGATACTGACGTTATCAATGAATTTTAGTTCGTAATATTAACTAACATTTGATTTTTAGGTTGATTCCCATGAATTCCATGTGAATATAAACCTTCTGTCTTTGTTTCCGGTCGTCTACTGGTTTTACATTACCTTGTAGCTGTAAATAATTTTCCAAAATTATTGACCACAGCACTCATTACTGAACATTGGATACCGACCCTCAGTGTTTAAGTCGACTTGTTTAGCTGGAGGCTTCCGGTCAAGCATCCACGCCATTTGGTACTCCGTCGTGTCCCGTTCGAGCATGATCCCTAGCCAGCTAAGCAATCATCTGTCACTCCGATTTGGTCCCGAAATATAACTCGTAATTTGGACGATCAAATATTTTTTTGCTTTGCCTTTGGTCTACGCGGAACGAATACTATAGAAGTTGTGGGTATTAGATCTTGCGTTAGTATACTTCGTACCATCCGTGAACGTCAATACCGTCAGCCTCTTAAACCTCGTTCAAGAAAGCTCAGTAGTATCGGTAACATCGTAGCCCATAAAATCGCTCCATAAATGTGGTGAATAATTCCAAGGAAATCAAAACTGGAATATAGAACTGAATTAATATCCTATGCTGACCACACAATTACAATCAATTAACTTCAGAAATAGTTAAGATAAATGAAGCAAATTTTGAGGCTAACATCCCGAAATATAGAGTGGTGAGAATGATTTGTGAAGTAAATATACTTACTTACTGCTTGTATATAATTTTCATCTCAACAGAACGCTAATAGCACTCAACTTCTGACACTTTCAACCTAATTCATTTCGGTTTCGATAGCAAACGCTTCGATTTATCATTATAAGTTACTGAAAAACTAAAGTTTATTTTGGTGCGAACCTTAATTCATGTTCCTACAGAAAATTTTCTGAGTTATAAACAAGGACAAATTGTAGATCGCTGGATTAGGATTTCTGTAATTTTCTTCGAACTTTGGGTTTAAGTCAAATTTCGTTTGAATATTAACTGATCAGAGTTTCAAAAATTTCCGCGTAATGATAACAAACCTGAGCTTATCACGATAAACATCAAGACGTTCTTTATCATTCCGCTGGGTGTTGATACTTTTATCTTGAAAATTTTTTTCAGGCTCAGCTTGGATACATGCATCTGTCTTTAAAATATCACCTGACTTTTTTAGTTGACGTTTGGCAAAGCAACTCAAAACTTAGACTGTCCAAAGTAGATCTCAATACACGATTATTAATTTCAGCATCAGAAGCTCTAGAATAAAATCTTTATATCTGTATTGCAAATCTAACTTTTGCTGACACTGTGCAAGTTGTTCCCTAAGATCTTCATTTCTTTTCAATTCGGACAGCAGTTTACACTCCGCAAGCTTGCGATTCTCCATTTCAGAATCAGCTCTTGACTTCAGAATCATTATCAGTTCAGACTGTTTGTGCAACCTTGACTTCAACTCTGCAACGTCTAGAGTCATTTTTGTTTCTGTAGCAATCTATAGAGAGGAGCAACCTTAAGATTTGTAGTAGAAAAACAAATATAAAGTGTCTATCATCCAACAGAAACCAGGATAATTTATTCATCTCAGTTTCCAATATCCAATATCCTGATTACGAGCTAGTATAAACCAGTGATTTCTTTGAGCTCGCTTCTTGATTTTAAGGTAGAGGTTCCAGATCTTCGGTGAACTTATGCGTAGTAAATCCCGCCACTCGACTGCTTTAGCTCTGGTAGACTCCAGGAGGAGTGATGCGAGGATTGGTCAAGATTGTGGTTTGTAGTGTGCAGTATGTTAGGACTCAGCTGCTGCCGTGAATGGAGTTTGACCTAACACCCGTTGGTCATTCGGTATAGTCATAAAAGTAGAGTAATAATAATAATAATGATAATGAT